CTCTCTGAGGAGGTGAAGCTTGAGCTGGTTCTAAACCAGGGGACTGGGCAGAGACACAGTGTGGGACAGTATCAGGGAAGAGCAGGCCTGCAGACGCAAAGGCCCTGAGTGGCAACAAGTACCACTGTCCTTAGAAAGAAGGCTCTGGCGGCCTCAGGGAATGAGCGAGAAGGAAAATAGGGGAGGCTGGCAAGGCCTGGAGGATGTGTGCCTTGTGCGCGGGATCTGGGAGTTGCAATTTCATTCTCTGTGGCAGGAAGCTATTGGGGCTTGGAGGGGAGAAGTGATATGCTTTGATTTATCTTATTAAAAGATTGTCCCAGCTGCTGGGTGAAAAACAGGATGACAGAGGCCAGCATGGAGACAGGGAGGCCAGTTAGAGATGGCGTGATTCAAGCCAGGACGGAGGGGTGAGAACTGGCATGCACTTCTGAAGTAGAGCTGATAGGACTTGTCCAGCGTCTGGAATCTTATCCAGTGGATGCCCAGAGCTTGGGTCTGGGGGATGAGGAAGGGCCAGAAGTGGGTTTAATCTGACAAGGTTTGGGGACGTCATTTTCTCCCAGAGCTCCCAAGGGACTTAGGGAATGGTTCCAACCCCTTTCTTCTCTTCCCAGGGGCTGCCGGGAGGCTATCAAAAGGATCGCCTATGAGTTTGTAGAGATGAAGGCCAAAGAGGGCGTGGTGTACGTGGAGGTGCGCTACAGCCCTCACCTGCTGGCCAACTCCAAAGTGGAGCCAATCCCCTGGAACCAGGCTGAGTGAGTGATGGCCCAGGAAGAGCAGTGCTGAGGGTGTGGCTGGGAGGCTCAGCCCTCAGTCTGGAAGGGCAAACTGCTGGGAGTCCCTGACCCAAGCAAGACCTTGCTCTTACCCCTGCCCCCAGTCTGGCCCATGGGCTCAGAAAGATGGATTTAACTCTGTCACAAGAGACGTGGTTCCCATCCTCGCCTTGGGGTTATATTCTTACCTTGGGCACAAGTGTTTGGCTGTGTCTTGCAACCCACAGCTCTGGCCACAGGCCTGCTGTCCAGGAATGTTAATCTGCTTAGGCAGCAACTTCTAAAGGTCCTGCTCTAACTTCATAACTGGAGTGAGTCTGGCCCATTTCCAGCCCCCTGCCTGGACCCCCATGGATCCCTAAGTGGTATCACAGAGCCACTCTCTGAGCCATGGTTCTGACACATATCGAGTGTGAACACCATGCCAGTCCCAAGCTTAGCAATGCCCTCCCTATGGGGGTGGGGAGGGCCGTGTGGACACCACACACCTCCCACTAAGATCATGGGGCACCCAGCTGCTTTAAGGGCCAGAAGGGACATGCTATGGCCTGGGGGCATCTCTGCCAGTCTTTCCTCTGAGGCAGTGGGTCAGTGTGGGAAGAGGGTCCTCCCCAGAGCCTCCTCTTCCTCTGTCCCAGTCCCAAAGTTGCCCTTTGACCTTCCCTTTGCCTCAGGCCCATCCCTACTCCTCTCCCCACACAGAGGGGACCTCACCCCAGACGAGGTGGTGGCCCTAGTGGGCCAGGGCCTGCAGGAGGGGGAGCGAGACTTCGGGGTCAAGGCCCGGTCCATCCTGTGCTGCATGCGCCACCAGCCCAGTGAGTAGGATCACCGCCCTGCCCAGGGCTGCCCACCTGACACTGGCCCTGACCTCCTGGCCTAGCAGTGGGGCCATACCTGACCTCCCCTGTGCCCCACACCCCCATCGTGTCCCCTGGAGCCCACTGTCAGGAACTCGGGGCTTCCTGAAATGACTGGAGACCTCCTAGGCAGGCTCACAACTTCCTAGAGACGTACTTTTCTCCCTAGGGATGCCATGCCTTCACAGCCACCCTGCTGGAAACTCAACACCAAATAGGAGCTTAACTATTGAAAACAAAAATCAGCCCATGTTCCTCCCTTGAGACCCTGTGGACCAGGCTCTATCCTGTCTGGGCCACAGAAGCCGTGAATAGGTCTGATTTCCCGGATTTCTGAGGGGTCTCCTTTGTCACTGATGCTGATCAGATCTCAAGTTTGTGCCTCGTGGTGCACAGCCTCACTGTGTGACTTGGGGCAGGTCACACCGGCTCTCTGGTTGTGCACTGAGACACCTCAGTTGTGCACTCTCTTAAGGAGATGATCACACTTACTTCATTCCTTTACCCCCAGGATTAGTGAGAACCAAAGCTACCTGCACACATCTCCTCTAATCCTCGCAGCAGGCTGTATAGTAGAACTACCATTGCTTATTCCCATTTGACAGATGAGGAAATTGAGGGGGAGTGGGGTGCAGCCTCTTGGAAGGCATGAACCCTGGATTTGCATCCAGGGACATCTAGTTCCAAAGCCTATGTTCGTTCATAAACACTTCATAATAACTTTATTGGTTAAAAGTACATAATACATTAGCAATATGCTTTGTAATACTTGAGAGTTCTTAGACGACAAGTTACACTATCCTCCATTTCCTCATGTGCGCGTGGGAGTAAGCCTACCATGAGCACTGTTGGAAACACAGGGGAGAGAAGGGTCCGTGTGTCATTTACTGAGCTCAGGCCCTGTCGGTGGTGCTTTACACACATGGCCTTGGCAAAGCCTTGCCACGACCCTGTGCAGTAGCTGGCAGTGTTCTTTCCGAAAAGGGTGGAAACTGAGGCCCTACACAGCAGTTTTCCCGCAGGCCATGTGGTTAGGACGTAGCAGTTTGGATTTGAAGACACTGAGCCCTGTTATGTGTTGGCCTCCCATGGGGCAGGGTTGGGGAGGGGGGGTTGGGTAGGACAGCAGGCAGGTGGGCAGGGAGGTCTCTCCATGGTGCTGATGACAGAGCCTGGGCGGGCATCTTGCCCACAGACTGGTCCCCTGAGGTGGTAGAGCTGTGTAAGAAGTACCAGCAGCAGACCGTGGTGGCCATCGACCTGGCTGGAGATGAGACAATCCAAGGAAGCAGCCTCTTCTCTGGACATGTCCAGGCCTACGAGGTGGGTCCTGTGAGAAGGAATGGAGAGGCTGGCCCTGGGTGAGCTTGCCTCCCACCCATAGTTGGGAGAAATCACAAGAACCGGGGAGCATGGGGTCTCTTGAGTTCTGAAGTGTGTCTTGATTGGGTCTTAAGGCTTGAAACTGGAAGTCCCCCAGGCCAGGAATGGTAGTTCATGCCTATAATCCCAGCACTTTGGGAGGCTGAGGGAGGAGGATTGCTTGAGCCCAGGAGTTTGAGACCGGTCAGGGCAACATAGTGAGACCCCATCTCTGCAAATATTAAAAAAATTAGGTATGGTGGTGTGTCCCAGCTACTTGGGAGGCTGAGGTGGGAGGATCGCTTGAGTCCAGGAAGTTGAAGCTGCAGTGAGCTGTGATCATGCCACTGCACTCCAGTCTGGGTGACAGAGGGAGACCCTGTCTCAAAAAAAAAGAAAGAGAAAAGAAGGGAGGGAGGGAGGGAAAGAAAAAGAAAGGAAAGAAAGGAAGAAAAAGAAAAGAAAAAAGCCTCACTTGGTGTTAGGAGTCCTGTGTTTGGGCCTGCTTCTGGCTGTGATCTGCTGTGTGACCCTGGGCAAGACTGCGTATTCTCTGGGCCTCTGGTTCATCTATTGGGATGACTGAGTTGGAGCTGATATCTCAAAAGCCCCTTCCAGCCTAATGATGAATGTGCTTCCTGTGGAAGGGGTGCAGCATGGTGGTGAAGGGTCACGGTTCTGGAGTCCCACTGCCCGAGCTCAGAGCTTGGTTCCACACTTCCTGTCTGACCTTAGTCATGTTACTTGACTCTCCTGAGCTTCAGTCCCCCGTCGTAAAATGGGTAATAGTTGTGAATATTAGATAATGTACGCAAGTCACTTCATATACTGCCTGACACATGGTAACTGGCTAATAAGTGACAGCCACTACTTAAAGACTTGGGGGGTAAAAGACAGGTTTCCCCATGCTGTTGAAGGAGGCAGCCTGACTGTGGGAAGGTTCAAGCTCCACAGCGTGTCAAGGCAGGGCCTGCAGAGGCCCTCACTCTAGGGCGCCCATGACCTGACCTGGCTCTCCCCCTTCCAGGAGGCTCTGAAGAGCGGCATTCACCGTACTGTCCACGCCGGGGAGGTGGGCTCAGCCGTGGTGGTAAAAGAGGTGAGGGCCTGGGCTGGCCATGGGGTCCTTCCTCCCTGCTTTCTCCCATACTTGGCTCCATTCTGCTTCTCTACAGGCTGTGGACATACTCAAGACAGAGCGGCTGGGACATGGCTACCACACCCTGGAAGACCAGGACCTTTATGACAGGCTGCGGCAGGCAAACATGCACTTCGAGGTGAGCGGGCCCAGGAGTGGGGAGGAACCATCCCCGGCTGTCCCCACTTCCTATATAGAGAGGCAGAAAGCAGGGTGTGTCCCAGGAGCTGAAGGGGTGGCCCCAGGCCCAGACATGGGGGGAGGGATCAGCATAGCCTGGGCCATCCCTGCCAGCCACACACCTGCTCTTCCAGGTATGCCCCTGGTCCAGCTACCTCACTGGTGCCTGGAAGCCGGACACGGAGCATGCAGTTGTTCGGTGAGCTCTGGTCCCCTGTTCAGTTTTGTTCCAGGAAGGCCAAAGAGGGAGGAAACTGTAGGAAACAGGCATCGGCCCATGCCGGGTCTCTTAGATATGAAATCTCTTTGACGCCCTGGGAAGCAGGCATTGCTGTCCTCATCTTACAGACGAGGAATCTGAAGCCAGATGTGCTGTGGCTTGACTGAGATTAACCAGCAGAGGTGGGGCCTTACAGCTCATTCAGTTTCAGCACAATGCTCCGCTGCTCTGAGGGAAGCTTCTACACTTCAAATTCCCCCAACTCTGCCTCCTGGGCATCGCATAGGAAGCAGGAATCTCTCCTGCCAGTATGTTTTCTGTACTTGGCACCTGACCCTTGGGACCCCCAGGCATTCCCGAATGCCATCTTAAAGCTTTCCACTGGAGGGTCTGTTCCATCCTCCCTGGCTCCCATCCTGTAGTCTAACCAGGGCCAAGCCCTAGGAGTAATATCAGGCCAGCACTGATCCATCTGCCAAGCTTATGAGAAGAGGAGGGACTTGGGCTCTGATGTTCTGAAGACAAGGGGGTCTTGAGGCTTGCCTTAGGAACATGTGGCACCTGTGGAGGTTCTTGGAAGCACGTGGGTATACCATGGGCTGGAAAAAGGTCCAGGAGTCATCTGCACAGATATGGTGGTTGAAGGAGAAGCAGTGGCCCCAGGAGGTGGTAGAGCAAGTGGGTCTAGGATAGAACCCAGAAGGACAATGATATTTAAGGGACCAGCAAAAGACACAAGTAGGAAGAAAGTCAAAAGTATGTCAGAGAAATCTAGGGAAAGGGTTTCAAGAAACAGTCAGCATTATTAAATTCTGCTATACGCGTCAATTATGGTCAGAGCTAGGAAAGATCATTAGATATAAGATGATGGTCAGGGATCGTGCTAAGAACAGCTTCTGTGGTATGTTGGAATAGCCCGCTTCCAGTGGGACTGAGGAACAAGCAGGGTAGGGTGCAGACGGGAAGGTTAGAGAGGGTGGCAGCTGGAGGGGATGCTACTTTTTTGGCTCCCTCCCCCCACCACCACTGGTCATCATTCTGCATGGTTCCCATGTCTGGTCCCTCAGCTGCCTTTGCCCAGCTCTGGGCTGCAGGATGGGTTGGAGTCTGGAGTTTCTGGTTATGTAGCCTTGGGCAAGTCATGGACAAGTCACCTGAGTTCTCTGAATTTATTTCCCCCTCTGCACAAGGATCAGCTCTTTCAGATCTGTTTGAGGCTGCTGTGAGGATCAAAGGTGGGTGAACATCAGTGTGCTGTGACGATGTAGGAGTAACAGGAGGATCATTCTCTCCCCCTCCCCCTCCCGCAGTCTCAGAAATGACCAGGCTAACTACTCACTCAACACAGATGACCCACTCATCTTCAAGTCCACCCTGGACACTGATTACCAGATGACCAAACGGGACATGGGCTTTACTGAAGAGGAGTTTAAGAGGCTGGTGAGTGGGTGTGAGCCATACTGGCCTTGACTAGGGTTTGGGAGTATGAGATCTACAGGTCCTGCCCAGGGCCTGGGACCTTTTGGGGAGAGGGAGCAAGTTTGCCTGAACAGTCCAAGACAAGCCCAACCTAGACACTTTCCGCAGAGAAGACATCCTTGGGTTGATGTCCTGACCTAGGACCAGGTTTTTGATCCTTTGCTTGAGTTGAGTGCCTTTAAGAAGCCAATGAAAGCTGTCAACCATCTCCCCAGAAAGGTGTGCCCAGCGATGAAGTCTTGCATGCTCTCTTCAGGTTGTTCTTAGATCCCAGGCTGAGTGGGTCCATTCCTGCAGGTGTCTTTGGGGTATCTCTGCCCCCTCTACATGCCACCCTGTTTCAAAGGTTTCCCCAACTTCCTTCTTGCAGCCCTTTATCACATAATGACACATTAAAAACACGACCCCATGGTCTCTACTCTGGCATTTGCTGCCGTGTGACAGTGGACAAATCCCTCCCCTCTAAGCATACCTGCCCATGTTCAGTGAAGAGGATGGACTATCACTACATTGCAAGAGCTGCCTTTTTTGTTCTCTGGTTCCATGTTGTCTGAATTCTGGCCCTTCCAGAACATCAATGCAGCCAACTCCAGTTTCCTCCCAGAAGATGAGAAGAGGGAGCTTCTCGACCTCCTCTATAAAGCCTATGGGATGACACCTTCAGCCTCTGCAGGTAGGTTCCTGTCTGAGCTTTTGGGCGGTTGCCCTGTGCTGGCTCCAGCCTGGCTTTCTGTGGGACTTCTAGCAAGATGCTCTTCCTTTCTTGGGCAGCGCCAAGAAGGTGTGATGACTCCCTGGTTTCTGGGCCCTGGCCGGGAGCAGCATCTCATTAGATTGGCTTGTTTTCCATATAACTTCTTGAGAGGCTGTTTGAAGAGGGGACTTTCTGAAGCCCAGTCCCAAAGATCTGGGGAGACTGGGACATCTCCATGGCTGCCCAAAGCTAAGGGCAGGGAGTCGGGCCCAGGCCTGTTCTGCTCCTTTCTACCACTATGGTCTTGGCATGGCATCTCCTTGCCATCAGTAGGATGGAGTTCTTTTCTGGTGTCCTATGATTTTTACAACATCCTGGGTACTCCAAGTTGCCTGATCTTTCTGCTTCTCTGAACCAACGAGCAGGGCAGCACCACTGAGGACGCCACCCCTACAAGCCTTCACCCTGCGGAGTCACCCCAACTCTGTGGGGCTGAGCAACATTCTTAAATTTATTCCTTCCAAGAAGACCATGATCTCGATGGTCAGTTACTGATGCTCCTGAAGCCTGTGTGTCCATTTCTGCACACACGTATACCTCGGCATGGCTGATTCACTTCTCTGATTATGTGCCCTGGACAGGGACCAGCGCCCTTGCACATGGGCATGGTTGAATCTAAACCCCTCCTTCTGTGGCAACTTGTACTGAAAATCTGGTGCTCAATAAAGCAGCCCATGGCTGGTATCATGCAGCATGTGGCATGTAATTTGGTCTTGGGCAGGGTGAAAATGGAAGGAGCTAGGGTCAGCCTGCTCAGTAGCAGGGCTTGAGCCCAGGGAAGGCTGTGAATGCTAGGCCAGAGCTCCTAACACTGTGGGCCAAGAGGGGTCCAGAGACTGTCCTCCTTCCAGAAGAAACAAGGCTTCTCTGGTTGTCTGCTCAAACATTCCCTGAACTCTGAGCCCCTCCTAATTCTAGGTTTTAAGGCGTAAACCTTGCTTTTGAGTTCCTAAAACTGGCAGCTGGGGTGACAGCAGACGAGATGGAAGAGTGCTCATCAGACACTGGGCCTCGGAGTGGTGCTGGCCTGTGCAGAACGCCGCCATCTTCTCAGAATCTTACGCTCCAGAAGCTTGGGGCAAGTCGGCTAATTGTGGACTTGGGGAAAATAAGGCCCAACACCTGTTTTTGCTGCTTTAAGGAGAAATAATCTTAAACCAGTCACACAAATCATCAGCATTTATTTCCTGGGTCCTAGGTGTCACTTATCCTGGTAGAAAGGGCAGAGGTGGTCAAATAGTTTTGAGCCAAAATCCCTTCCCTAAAAATGGACCTGTGAAGCTCCATGAGGGAACCTCAGAGCTGCACAGACAATGAGAGTTGAGCTAAAATGGCTTAAAAAAATGTGAATTGATTGTCAGCTCTCTCCGTCTCTGCTGAAAAAAAGGTTTAAAATTTTTAAAAAGTTTAAAAGTGTTTTCTAAAAAAGGGACAAGAAGGTCTTGACCCAGAAGGTTGGGGCTGGAAAGGAGGTGTTGGTGTTGGGACAGGGTCCCTGCCCAGGCCGCTCGTGAGAGGAGCGTTCTTGCATGGGCTGCTCACTGTAGGGCAGGGCCCCGCCCAAGTCCCGGCACCAGCTCAATAAATAACATTTGTGGTTACAGTGTCTTGAAAGTGTACCTGGGCATGGTGAGAAGGTGGTGGGAATGTGGAGCCTGTGGGTGTGGGCAGAGGGCTTTCCCGGAGTGGAGGCCACAGAGGCCTCTGGGGAGCCTTCTCAGTCTGGCCTGGTTTATCTGGGACATGGGGCTCAGAGAAGAGGCTGCTGGGCCAGTGCCAGGGTTCCCCCTCTGGGAGGGGACAGAAGGTATCTCGTCCAGCCTACTTGGACGAGATCAGACTCAAGATGAGGTGGTCCCATCGCTGCTCTGGGGCTGGTTGCCGGCTTCCTTGTCTGGGGCGCTTCCCTCCACCTGTCCTTCTGGAGAGGAGAGAAAGGTTTTTCTTGGGCACATATACACAAAGTAAAGCAAAGAAGGGGGTGTAAAAGGGCCCAGCCAAATCGATCACAGTGGATATGCCCTGGGGAGCAAGACAGGAGCTGGACTGGGGTGGTGGTGGCCAGTGGGACTTTGGCCTGGTCTGTAACATCTTTTTACATGGAAATGCACATGCTGTTAGTATAATTAAAAGTCAATTAAGGAGGCTGGGCGCGGTGGCTCAAGCCTGTAATCCCAGCACTTTGGGAGGCCGAGGCGGGTGGATCACGAGGTCAAGAGATCGAGACCATCCTGGTCAACATGGTGAAACCCCGTCTCTACTAAAAATACAAAAAATCAGCTGGGCATGGTGGTGCGTGCCTGTAATCCCAGCTACTCAGGAGGCTGAGGCAGGAGAATTGCCTGAACCCAGGAGGCGGAGGTTGCAGTGAGCCGAGATCACGCCATTGCACTCCAGCCTGGGTAACATGAGTGAAACTCCGTCTCAAAAAAAAAAAAAAAAAAAAAAAAAGATAAAAACCCCTCCTCAAAAAAAAAAAAAAAAAAAAAAGTCAATTAAGGGCCATTTTGGATGGGTGCTTAAAGCATCTTGAAGGTCGTTTTATTTGTGCAAGTTCCCAGAGGGGGAGGCCAAATGTTAAGTCCCCAGAGTGTCACAGGTGCTCAGCAAATGGCAGGTGTTCTTCTAAGACAGTAAAGAGCCCTGAACCGGGCCAGCTCAGGGAGTGCTGGGGTGTGGCCTGCATTAGGCCTGTGGCTGCCAACCATGCAGCATGGGGTGTGTGCTGGGCCACCTCCCCAAACAGACACCTTGGCAGCCTGAAGGACAGCAGCAGGCTCACAGAGGGGGAACACCTCCCCCAGGGAGGCAGGGTACAAGCTGGGTCTCCACTCTCAGCTTCCTTTGAGCCCCACTGTGCAAGGTGGGACAGGCAGCCCCCACCACCCACTGTACCAGCAGTGCAGGGTGAGGGAAGTACCAAACTCACACCCAGGCCCCTAGTCTCCATGCCCTCCTCCTCAGGCTGCACAATAAACATATCTTTTCACAAGGTGCCCCCACATGGGGCCTGGCATGTGAGCAGAGTTCAATCAGTGGTGCATTCTTAAACCCCAGTGACACTGTGCAAGCTCACCGACAGACTGAGTTCAATCCAGCCCAAACAGACCACACCTTTGCATCCTTCAGGCTAAGCCCTTTACAGAACCAGGAGAACCACCACCCTATGCCTAGCTCCAGGGTCTGCAGACAGATGGGCACTTTTTCATGCAATGCACACAGTAACATGGAGGTGTAATGAGGGTCATGATATGCACAAGAAAAGCGAGGCTCAGTGAGGTGAGCTGATTTGCCTGGATCAAGTGTAGAGAGCCCTGCTTGCCACCAAGGCCAGTACCTCTTCTACCAAATGTAACCTCTTCCAATAAGCAGCATCCCTGAAGGTTTACATCAGCACTGCCTCACTGTGCCCTGCAACAAGCTAGGAAGTGGGTGGTAGCTCAGTACCCTATCCTGGGAAGCCTGCTCTTATTCCCAGTGGGGCGGTGCCTGGAATTCTGTACTCCCCCTGCCTTGGGGAGTCTGCTGGACTGAGCCTGGCCCACAGCCCTGCCCGTGGAAACAGAACTGCTCACTGTGGCCTCCCGGAAGGCGCCTTGGCCAGTTGCTCTTGCCTGGACACCACCATGAGTGTTTCCTTTCCTCGGCTCCCCTTTTTAAATGTCAGTCACCCTGGCAGGCAAATGTCACGTGCCCAGAGGAACCCCACTGTAGGGAATCTGAGTCAGGGAAAACAGGTGTTAGGAGGGCCTGGGCACATGGGCCAGCAGCTCCAACTGCTGAGGTGTAGAAGGAGACAGAAATGAGTTCACCAGAGCTGAGGGTGAGGACATAAAAGCGTTGAGAGATAGCCCAGGGCAATGTGGCCAGTGTGGCAGCTGGATATGCTGGTCATTCAGTCGGTCAATGAACAGCCATTGACTTGGCACCTCTGTCATGTGCTAAATGCCACCAGGCACTGAGGGCACAGGACACAGGGCCTGTGCTGGAGAAGTTCAGTCTAGAGCAGAGCACTATGCTCAAAGGGCTCATGGAGGCAGATCATGGAAGCGTCTGGCAGGGGCACTGTGGTCAGGGAAGGCATCTCAGCTGAGCAGATGCCTGGGTCTCTAAGAATGAAGAGAGGCCAGCCAGGCAAGGGGAGAGAAGGAGAAGCAAACAGAGGGTTAGTATGTGAAGGCCCACAGGGGCTTCTGAGCCATCAAAGTACTTTACTCCGGCAGCTGAGAGGATGAGAGTTGAGGCTGAAGAGGTGAGCAGGGCAGAACCCTGTGGAGGTTCTGCCTGGGCCACCTGACAGAGGAGGACTAATAGACCATGGAACAGGGAAGGCTTGGGGGATGGGGTTCTGTAAACAGGTGCTGGGGACTCGCAAGGCGGCCAGATTCTCATTCTATGTTAACTCCCTGGTGGCCCTGAGCAAGCCCCCCAACTTCTCTGGGCCTCAGTTTGTCCATCTACAACATGAGAGGGCTGGTCCATGCCCCTGCAAAGCCTTCTCTGTTCTGTACTTTTAGTTTACTTCTGGCCAGTGAGGCCCAAGAAGACTAGGGCTCCCCAGGGAAAGGCAGGGCTGTGACCCTCCAAGGACAGCCCGGGTGGGACAGACGAAGCCTGACAGCTGTGCTGTGATGAGACACACAGCCTCTGCAGTGCTGCGGGAGCAAGAGGAAAAGGCCTCAGCTAGTGCAGGGGTCAGGGAAGCTTCCCAAGGAAAGTCCAAGGCTGACCGTGGACTTGTGCCAAGGGGTTCTCTGGGTAGTGGAGGGAGGGCGGTGGTGTCCCAGTCAGTACTTGGGTGCGTGGATGCTGTTTCCTTTTGTCATTCAGTCTGCGGTAACCAAGCACCTGCTGTGCACCAAACAGAACACAAGGCCTCTGCCCTCCTGGCACTCACATTTAACCACATGAGACCTTGTCAGAGAGTGGTGAGGGTCATGTGATTGGGGAAGGGTGATCTAGCCCCTGGAGAGGCTTGACTGAGAAACAGACCAAAGGTGGATGTAGCTGGAGGGTGGCAGGGAGAGGAGTGGCATCAGGTGAGACTTGGGCAGGGCCCGGCCTACAGCAGCACTGCCCCAGGGCACTGTGACAAGCTTAGCTTCAGTCAGTGACACACTGGGGAATTTTTTGGCAGAAGCACGATGGACAGAATGGTTTCAACGAGGGCTGCCAGCTGCTGCATCGAGCTAAACAGGAAGGGCAGAAATGGGTGCAGGCAGGCCAGCGGGGAGGCCACATAGTCGGCCAGGTGAGAGCTGTGAGTGGCCAGAACCAGCTATGGCTATGGGGTGGCGAGAAGTAGAAGGGCCTGGGATGTACCTTGGAGGAGAACTGACAGGACTTATGGGTG